TTAACCTATCGGCCTAACCTATATTTCTGTCAGTTTTCTGGTAATTGAAAAGGTACTCGGCTGAGTGAAGAAATTTTCACTTACGGCCAGGTACGCAGCACATCCAGCGCCTCTTGTGTTGGCTTTGGAATCGACGAGTCGTCCGCTGATGCCGAAGTCGCACAGCTTGATGTTCCCGCGCTCGTCCAGCAGGATGTTACTCGGCTTGACATCGCGGTGGATCACGCCGTGCACGTCTTTCAGGTACGATAGCGCGTTTACCGTCTGTATAGGAAATTAATAATTATAGTCAAGTCTTTTTTGAAGTCGGAATAAAATGACATTTTTCTTTTTTTCATTTTTCATTTTCACGGTTGCCAGTTTTCATATTTTAAATAATCATGTAGTTGTTGTTGACACTTTTATCCATAGATTGTGAAAGAATTTAAAATAATGCCAAAAATTTCTGAATTGTGAATGTTACCATTCTAATTAGCACTAATTGCGTTTTTTGCCTTCATTCATTGACTTACAAATAAATGGACGACGGGTCTAATACAAAAACCACGAAAAAAAATGTCCCAAGTCAACCTATTTAAACGTAGTGACATGTAAAGGAATATGAAAAAGCTAAAACGTTGAATTTAAATTGTAATGTCATCACAGTACTGTCTAATTTTGCTTGCTTCGCTGTCAGTCGAACAAACGAAGACTAAAGCGTGAATGACGCTCTGTATACGATTTTAACGCCCTATAAGTTCGGACACTTTTTAGCGCGGACCCGACGTCCATATAATTGTATGTCAATGCCTTCATTATTCTTATTTTGACAGTTGACCTACTAGTATCGAAATCAATTTTTATTCATACATACTTTATTAAATTACAGACGGATTCTATAATGAATTAAGATGAAAAACTGAAAATTGTCTTTTCTTTGTATTTTTAATAGAATTTTCTTTTAAAAATACAAAGAAAGAAATTTAATGCAGCGTATGTGCGTTATTATTATTATTACATAAACGAGACAAACAGTAGATAGTTGATAGAATATTTATCGACTGCAATCACTAGCTGCTTGCAATCAGGCAACACTTTTGCGCAAATGAACTGTCATTTTACTCTGTCTTCAAAAAAGACAGACTACAACAGTAAAAGTCGTATTAGGATAACACAGTCAGGGCACTGAACTAAGGTGGTCGGCGATTGATTACTTCACCGACAAGAGTAAGCTCTTAAATAAAGAAGAATTAAAAGTGTACACTTACTCTACAGTGCAGTATAGGTCGCCTTATTAATTATTATTGAGAGAAAACTCGATAAATAACAAAATGTTACTAAACACATTTGTCCCTTGTAGGTATGAACGTTTATTAATATCGACACTGGAAAGGTATAACGTCTAATGTGCATTTGGAAAATATTACAGAAGAGTGTTTTAAAGTAATTTTTTAAAGAAAAATAATCATAACTTTAATTTGATTTGTTATATGGAAAAACTGAAACTTTCTAGATTTACTTAAAAAAAAACTTTACGTGCACATTACACTTTTTATCTTTCCAGTGTCAGCCCCCTTTTTTTACATATTATGTAAGTATTGTTTATAGTGACCTCTCAACCTCTTGGTTATGCGGGAAGGTCACTTTGCGAACAAGCCCGCACAGAGATCATCTAAGTCAGGTCCTAACTTCAGATTAGCCTGTTTGCACGGACTTCATCCAGTCCTCTATAACGCTACTGCCTTAGGTGAGGCGCCCCCGGTGCACGAACAGCACTTTCCCTATTTTCCAGATAGGTACCGGAGCTGTAGGCACGCTTACTTCCCGTCGCGCTCGCGTCAATAAATAGGAAGTCCAAATTAAAATTTTCAAAACTCACCGCAACGGTCACTTTTCCAAGTATGTCCTCTGGTATAGGAGCGCGAAGCCTCTTGAGCAGTTTATCAAAGCAGGAAGCCATGAGCTCCATGCAAATCCAGACGTCAACGTCCGTCACAAAACAACCTAAACACCGCACGATGTAAGGACAGTCGTGCGAATGAACTACGACGTACAAGTCCATCAGAATGCGTTTATTTTCTTCTGAATTGCCCGATCGTCGCATTTGCTGCAAAGACAGAAATGTTGATAAATTTAAAAGAAAAACCAAATGTAATTGTAATAATAAAAAGATTGGAAATTCGTTGCCAAAATAAATACCAAACAACCTTTGCAACACCAAATTTTTTAACGCGGCGTTTCCTGCTACAAATTACTACTTAGCAATAATGACGCTTTTTGAAGTATTTTTCTTTTTTTTATAATACCAAGCGACACGCCTGTCCATAACGTTGCACCACCGCACAGAGCTTTAAGTAGCAAAGATCTGAAGGCGTCACTCCAAAACATAAGTTGTCAAGTCCCATGTGCCTGTAATTTCACCAGCACCCTTACAACTTACAACACATTACTGCTTGGCGGCAGAAATAGGTAAGGTGGCAATACCACCCTGAACTAATTCTTTCGCCAGGACCTCTACTGATACTAGAATTAGCTTACTCTGATATGACGTTTACGTTACTGTTCTGTATTGTTATTATATTCGCTATGAGCCTTGAACAACGTTTCATTACTTTCATTAATTAAATCGGAAATTACATCGCACATGAAATTAGATACTGTCGTAACTCCATTGAGGATATCCAATTTGAAAATTTTAAAAAAACGCTGAATGGATCTTATTGCGAATATTGTTTTTTTTTTAATTTCATTATCAATTTATAGACAAGAATATGTATATTGGTATAATTTAGTTTTTTTTTTCAAATCGTGATTTCTCAATTCCACGATTTTGAGTTACGATAGTATGTGGTTTCATGTACGACGTGTAGGAAAGAAAAGGCTTTCGAAATTTGTGATGTCACTATTCAAACAGTGATTCAAACACCAAGGACCGTTTTGACGAAAGAGACAGAGCATCTTCTCACCGCCGACTTCAACATTTAACTTTTATTAGCAACCAATACCTAGTGGTAATTGAAATAACCAATACCTACAAAAAGTTGTCACAAGGAAATTAGTCCGCCTTTTGTTTTTAAGTTCTAGTCTCTATGCAAGTGGAGTTTTTGGTGAAGAAAAATTTATCATTACTATATGAGTAACAACGCAAACACTCACTTTGACGGCTATAACAGCGCCAGATGGTTTATGCAGCATTTTGACAACGTGGCCGCAGGTCCCGCTGCCCAACTCGCCGAGGAGCTGCAGGTCCCCTTCGTGAGAACGGTACTCAACGCCTTCCACATTCAGTTTGCCACTAACCTGTGGTAAAATTGTGTTTAAAGACCAACTGGAAACTGGCCCTGTACTCTCATTCTGCGTCCGAAACAATTACTGTCAAATTAAGCATATTCGGCCAAGTTAAAAGACGCATCATGCAAATGAAGCTTCATACTTGACATTGTGTTTTGATTTGGTCGAGTATTGCTTAGAGTGGTGACACACGACGACCTTTAGCAGCGATGCCACGCGAATCACGCGTCCGTGAAACGCGCGATTGCATCGCCACACACGCTATAAATCCCAAGTGTATCGATGCAATCGCGTGTTTGTATCGATGCAGTCGCACGCTTGCATCGCGTTCGCATCACTGCTTAAAATCGCGCGTGTGTAACCGCTCTTATTTGACAGTAATTGTTTCAGACTGATGTTGGACGACGAACGAGAATAGACCCACAGTTGCAATACAGTAAGAATAAAAGATAATCATTTTTTTGTTATACTATGTCATTTAATTATTCACTATATTTTTTATATTATACATTTTTGTTTCCTTTTTTTAAATTCGGAGAACGCAATTTTACACAACTTAAATCACTAAGACATAATATCGTGCTGTGTACACTGTTTTTGGAATGTGGTCTAGGACTATCTGGGCTCATTTCACACTGGCGCAGAGTCGAAACGTTGCGATGCGTCATGTTTTTCGCCTATAGTGCATTCATCTCTATTTTCCCATTATTAAGGTACAAATTTAGGTAAAAAAACAGGACGCGACGGTTCGACTCTGCGCCGATCTGTGTTGAGCCTTACCATGTGTTGATTACATTCTATTTGAGTACCTTTAAAACAAAACAAAAAATAAAATTATTATTATCTATGTTTGTTATAGCTGACATTTGAATTCAAGAACACGAATCCAACATCATAAAATAAATTAAAAAATGTATGCAGGCAAATAGCAAATAGACAAAAGTAATAAATATTTATTTTGTCTACAGTAGTCGGTATTATTCATGCTGTATTAATCCGCGGTGGTGCCACTAAAGATAAGTCGCATTACATCATTTTTGCGAGTAAATTGACGGCTTGGCGACATTTCCTTGTCTTTGTGCTTATGCTATGCCTGCATTACTGGACTTTGTCCTCTCGTACAAAGTCATACTTTCTTTTATTGATAATGTCCATTGTAAAAAAAATATTTACAAATTCTCATGATTACAAATGTAAAATTGACACAATTATGTGGTCTCAATATTTAAACCTTTAAAAATCATCAATTTTTCGGAATTTCGGAATTGAGAGAATTCATTTACAGCTAAACTAAGCCCCGGGACTTCTCGGAACTGGTTATATTTGAATATGCGTATTATTTAATGAAATTTGAGTACATTGGCGAAAGATTATTATTTCCTGTTAAGTATTTGCTACAAATCATTGTCTCATAAAAAAAATATTGTAGTTATGTTTCTATGGCTACGTACATATTAAAATACTTTAGCCATTTTAAAAAATAAACTTGAGACAACATATGTATATATTGGAATGTTTAGAAAATAATCAGTAAGAAAATATACGCGTTGATAACGAAATGTGTATATTGTGTGTGTATATAACGAATGCCTGAACGTCCTAAATTTATCACCCCATTGCTTACCCCGACATCCAAAATAGGTCATAAGATGCGACTTTTCGCAACTAGGCACCTCTTAGAAAAATTTATAAGATATTTCTACTGCAGTGGCGTCTGGTTTAGGCTGTTGGTACTTGTAAAACATACACACCTTGTGAACTTCCCGCATTTTATGTTCTGTTTCTGTAGCTTGCGGTGATCTTGGTGGGTAGGCTGGGATCTCTCTACTGGAGAACATCAGGGCTGGAAAAAAAAAATTATAATTTTGCAGCCTATATATATTTTTTATACTATCAAGTGACGGAACGAAAAAGTCGTGCGCCTGATGTTTAGTTACACGCCTGTCCATAACAGTTGCAGTGCCACTCGGAGCTTTAAATCGCAAAGATCTGAGGGGCACTGCCACTGTGCCTGTCACCCTGAGACATCAATTGTCAAGTCCCACATACCCATAATTTGGCAATACTTCCCTGGACGAACTCTTTCACAAGGAGCTCTACTGCTGCTAAAATATGGTCCCAAGGTCACGACTGAAAAATATTTCGGACTCTTTACAGGTCCCATGGACACGCCTGACCATAGCACCTATAGAGTCCGAATAATTCATCAAAAAAAAAAAAAAACAAATTACACGATGTAGATCTGCAAAAATAGTTTCATTTCTATGTCAAATCCTGACGCGACAGTGAAGAACATAGTTTTTCTTTAAGATTCCACGAAATTGAGGATCCCAATATGACTTTTATTTATAAAAATTAAATCAACAAAATTTAGTCATAGAAATTACATATGAATTATTTAAATTGTGATAAAATTAAGCCACCTTTACTTAATGATGATAAGGAGCCTGTTATGAAAGGTGTTGTGTCATAACCAGAGAGTGGAATGGCCCGAGAATAGTTACCTAAACTTCAAGGACACTAGAAAAAATCTCTCTCTGAAATTCTAGAATTGTTGTATTGTATTTTGTTCTATATTTTTGATATCGTCGCTTAGCAAACAACACCGCTTAAGTCATTTCAAGTACTTAATTTAATGGGAGCAAGAAAAACCTGCACATATTATTGTAAAAAAAAAATTTTGCTTATTGTTAGCAATTAAATTAAAAGTTAAAATTAACCTATTACTAATGATAGGTAAAAAAAATTTGTAAAAATCTTTTATATAATAATATATGCAAGTGTTTCATGCTCCTATAAAGTTACTTGAAATTATCGAGTTCTTAGGTTGTCGCAATTGTTACATATAAGAAATTAACCTATTTTTCCAGATTAAAATTGCGTATATTGGTTTTTTTTAAACAAACCAACTTTTCGGGCCCTTTACAGGTCCCATGGTCACAGTTGACTGACAAGCAAGCTAAATAGTAGCCAATTAGATTTTACTATTTACATATTAAATAATATTATGGCCTGTATTAATACTAACAATTATCATGTATTTTACACCCATTTGATAAGACAACCTCAGTGATTGATTGGTTTGTACTGTGAGCATTGGATGAAGAGGTACCGGGTTTGATACCAGTTAGAACCAATTTAAGAAACCAAGTTTTCTTGATTAGTGTGGTCTGGGCATTCAGAGTATTGTCCGAGAGTGAAATCTGCTGCTTGGGGAACACTAAAGAAGTCCGTATGACGTGACATTTGTTTTCTGTATGCTTGCAACATAGGCAACAATCCTCGAGCACCTTACGCTGATTAGTGATTGTTTCACTATGATAGCAAGCACTATGGTGCATGTCTTCTTATTGCTACCAATACAATAAGAAGGCATACAAGGAATTCTCAAGTTTAACACTGAGTAATTGGTGTGGTCATCTGGCATAGCACTTTTATTATTATTGCTATTTAGCCACAAATATTTTTGTCACAAAACTAGATATAACCGAGTAATGATAATTATCTCATAAATTTAATTCTTCTTTGTCGGTTATACCTAATTTTTGTGGAGAAAATAAAGAAATTTATTATTATTATTTTGTTTTCTCGTCTCTTTGTCTAGTTTAATGGTTTTAAATGCAGTATGTGTATATTTTGATGACATATTATGGTAAGAAGCTATTCTGTCTTCTACTATATACATGAACTTTGATATTATTATTATGAGGTGCATGAAAGGAGCCTCCAACACATGCCATTCCTTTCCTGTATGTTTGGTGCAACAATCAGCAAGTGCTTTACTGCAATTTTTTTTAAATATCAAATGATGAGTGTCAGTCTGCTCTGAGGAGCTTTAAATCGCAAAGATCTGAGGAGCGATGCCACTGCGCCCGACACCCTGATAAGTCCCATGTACCTGTAATTTTACCAGCACCCTTACCCTTTAAAAGCAGAACACAGTAATGCTAACATTACTGCTTGGCGGTAGAAATAGGTAAGGTGGCAGTACTTCCTTGGGCAAACTCCAATTGGCAAATCCTTTCACCATGATGCATGCATGCATGATGATGCATTATTATGTACGCCATCAATACAATAAGAAGATTTGTTATCACTCACATTTAAATTGAAAAGCTGTTCAAGAGTTGTAGATGGAATCTTTCTATACCCTAGTAGAGTAAAGATGATCATGTATATTTATCTATGCACTCTACAGACTACAAAAGGTATAACACCTGTTTACTAAAACACAAGTACGAAATATGCAAATTTAAGCACACAATGGTGTGTAGACTTGGAGACAAAGCATGGGTTGGCATGAAAACATGGTACATCTTACCACCCACAATAATAACATGCTCAAAGCCATTTTATGCTAATTTCTCGCATCGTATTATGCCGCAGAATCATTGCAATACGGATTCTAATAATTTATACCAAAACAATATGGAAGTTTATATTATACGAAAATATTTACATCATATTTTTATTCATGAAATAAAGATGTGGTCTGGGGTATTCTATATGTTTAAGCTTTATTTAAGTGTAATATTTAAGAAATTGGTTATATATGTGTGAAAAGGCAAAGCAGTAGCTTTAGTACACGATAAGAATAGATGATTACCAGAATTTAAAAGGTCAAGCTAGAACGACATAATTTTCTCATTTTATCTCAATGATATATCAAAATTCACGATGGAAAAGATTAGTAGGAATGTATAGGATACTCACGGTGTCTAGGTCTCCTGCTGTTTCCAGGCCTAGAAGCTCCGAGACCACCTTGGTTGTGGTAGTTACCTTCTCCCTGAACACGCAATTCATTTTCTAATCGCTCTTCTAAACCTCTTATTCGTCCTTCAATAGAACTATTCGACATCGTAGAAGCTTAAATCCTTCACTGATCACATTTAAGTACTAATTACTTATATCTATGACCTAAATTTATTTACACAAAAATTAAAATCAAGGAGCAGCAGTCCAAGGATTTTTGATCGCCAACCATTTTCGTTCAATTTGTTCGTTCGTGGTAAGATCGTTCAATTGTACAAAATCAATCGGTCCTTCAATTATTTGAACGCCTCCGTGTATTTCGCACCAGCAAATATGTATATACTGCTTAGACTATGGAAACTTATTTTTTTCCATCCTCTAAGATATACTGTTTTTATGTCGTACACCAAAGCTGTCAATTTTGCTACGTTTAGAAATTATTCCAGCCATTTTACATGAATAAATTAAGATAATGATTTTTTGAAAGTTTTATTTTTTGTAAGCCAGAATTTAATTTGTCAACCCTAAGCGTCCAGACACACGAGGAGAAAGTTTTCGCGCGGCTACCACGCCGTCGAACAGCGGAGTCCGCGACGGTCGTCGCGCGGTCAAAGAGCGGAGTCCGCGGCGGCCGCCGCGCGGTTGAAGAGCGGACGCCGCTTGGCGACCGCGTAGACAAAAGACAAGCTAGTGCCTTCCAGCTAAAAGTTAAATAAATAGGACGTATTTTGCCATGACAGTTCGGTCTCTGAACACGTGCATGCGGTTGCTGGGCGGCGACCTCCGCAGACTCTGCTCTTCGCCAACGCGGCGGTCGCCGCGGACTCCGCTTTTCGACCGCGCGACGGCCGCCGCGGACTCAGCTCTTCAACAGCGTGGAGTGAGTGCGATAAAATTCCTGTCGTATAAACGCGCCCTAACGAGAGTGTAACTGAGCTGTGAACGTTTTTCCAACCAGTAGGGCTAGCACGACAGATCGCGACTTGCGTGTGATGGTTTCATCACGTTTTCTTTCACCATTAGCGAGCGAGAGGTAATGCTAGAAAGATTCTCATAACGTTGCACATTTTAGTTAATTTCTAAACGAATACTAGTATACCTTCGTGTGTGTGTGTGTGTGTTTCATTCATTATTTTTCATCAGTCATTCGTTCATTCATTTTAATTTCTCTTCTCGTCTAGTTTTAGTCGGAAACGAAAAGTGAAAATAAAAATTGAGTATATTATTCGATATAAGATTAAATTCACTTTCGATTAAATAATGTATTAAGTGCACAGTTTATAAACTAATGATTCGAATCAGCTGTCCAGTTTCCTTAAGCAGAAAGTGGAATCAATTAAAGTAGTGTTATTATGGTGTCAAAAACTTATGTTTCCCGTTCGAGCAAAATGACGTGATTTTCGTAATAAATATTTATCGAGACAACATGTGTTGTTGAACTATTCGCAATCATGATGCAGTCGACTTCGGAAGGGTGTATGAATATCGCCGAATTGGCGAATCAATTGAGACGGGAAAAGATATTTATCAATTCGGAGAAGCAGTTGCTTCAGAATCTCAACGAGGAAGTGGAGAAGAGTGCTTTGGAGTTGCTGCAGTCGGCATGGATATGTTCCCAGCAGCGTCAGAACCTCACAAACTTGATAACATCTCGATGCGAAGCTGAATCTATAGCTGCTTGTCAGCGAGCCAGCCTGCTGGATCATACCACTTTCGTAGATGTCTATAAAGTGTTAAAATACAAGGTAAGTTTATAAACTATTTTTTAAAGATTTTGTTGACAATTTTTTACTACTTTCTGAGCAAATTTGTCACAACTGGTGACTGAGTGAAAGTTAGTACCTACCTACCATGAACTATTGATAATTAATTTTGTGTTCCATATTTTTTATTATTTTGGAATATCATTTGAAATTCGATTATGTGCTTGGAATAATTTTTGTAGGTATATAACTGTCTACATTGACATACATAAGTAGTATGGATTGCCTGATTGACAGTTTTATGAAGGCTCATGCAATTTCTAGTGACCTATGATTATTATTTATTGAGCATTGGCTATAGAGCCATCAATATAAAAAAGGTAACAAATAATTAAGAAACATAATATACATAAACTAAAAATGAATTCATGTCAAAACTGTAACTCTTCCAAATGAATACGTAAACCATAGACAAACAATCGAAATACATAAAAACAGTGACCTAAGGAACTTGAACATTTTGAATATGGAATTTAGAGTACACCAACAAATTAACAGACATTTACTTATTAAGTCCACTTTTTTTTATCCAATGCGACATGGTATCCGCCCACTTGTAAAACCAATTAGTTACTGAGAATTTCCTAGAATTTGTTCATTAAACTAATGGGATGTCTGTATTCATAACACCATGATGATTCAATGTTTTTCACACCATGTTTTTCATCACATTTTTGGCCAATTCTTAGGCTTAGTTTTGCCAGTGGTGGCCTTTGAATTTGTTGCTGTTTATGTGAACAGCAATTATTACAAAAAAAGGATGAGTTAAATTATAACTATGATTTGCTGTTAAATTATTGTTTCTTTTTTTTTTAAAAGAAGTGATGTTTGTATAAACTCTGAATTCATAATTGAAAATTGTATAATAGGCAGTGTTTAAATCATCTGAGCATTCAAATTTTCCAAATATATTTAATAAAACTAACCTTATGACCCTTCTGCATAATACATACATGGATGCCAAAAACCTGATTTATGAAGCCGATAATTTTCTGTGTTAAAAGTACAATACATAAAGATTGAGTTGCAAAAAAAATCTTGTACAAATTGAAAAAGTAATGTAAGAGGTGATCTGGTTAATAAGTTTCCAAAAATTATTTAAAAAATCATAACTAGAAAACTACGAAAAATCGCGGAATATACATAGGGGTGATTCGGATACTCCTTAATACAAGGTACTTAATTTTTTTTCTTGACGTCACTGTGGCCGGGATGGCCACCCTGTATATTTACAAAGTGCAAAGTTTTTTGCTCATTTGTCTCAGGGGGCTTTTTGAAGGGGCAGTAAGAGTTTAATTAATATGACGATTTCAAGTGTAATTTACTTACCTATAAAACTAAAGATACAGCAATCATGCTCAATTGAAAGAAAAAAAAAGACATTGGAAAGAAAATTCAAAGACCGCACGATTGCGCTCATCAGCCGCGCGCGCAATCGCGCACTCCAACACGCGGTCTATCCTGTGCTATTGCCTTTACATGGACGCTCTTTCCGTTGCAATAATAACGAACACGTTTGCTTTAAAAATTTCTAACAGGTAATTGCGCATGATAGCGCGTGCAGGCTTTCCCGCGTACAATCCTGTATGCTCCTGATCACGCGCGATATAGTGACTGTGTAAAGGAGGCTATTATTTGAGTTTGAGTTAATTTTTTTTAAGTTTGTTTTTATGTATGTTACACCCACTATAACTAAGCAGTAAAGCTACTTGTGAAAGAGTTCGTCCAGGGAAGTACTGCCACCTTACCTATTTCTGCCGCCAAGCAGTAATGTTACCGTTAAATTACTGTGTTCCGGTTTTGAAGGGTAAGGGTGCTGGTGAAATTACAGGCACATGGGACTGGTCAACTTATATCTCAGGGTGACGGGCGCAGTGGCAGTGCCCCTCAGATCTTTGCGACTTGAAGCTCTGGGTGGCATTGCAACTGTTATGGACAGGCGTGTGGCTTACCATCAGGCCTACGACTTGTTCGTCCGTCACTTGATATTATAAAAAAACACTTGTGCTTGCCAGTGTTCCTCATATTTTTGCCGTTAAAGGTCTGTCACAGTATTATTGCTGCATACCACCATGTATATGATTTGTATGGACAACGGCACATCAGATTACACATTTTTGTTCGAAAATCACCTGCAGTGCAACGGAACAAGATAGGTCAATGTGTAGCTTGATATGCTGGCATGTGTACATTCTTTCACTTGATGTCATAAAAAAACGGTAAAATGTTGTTGAAATTGTAATCTTGTATTATGTATCATTGTTCTGTTTACAATATTCAATATCAAATCTGTGCATATAATTTTATAGCGAAGTACCACGTGTCTCTATACATACAATTCTAGATAACATGTGTTATGGTTAACGTGACCAAATTTTTTTACCCTCAGAGTTGGACGCCTGCAAATTTATTATTGTTTTAATAATAACACACATGTTTATGACAGTTACTAAATGTTTTATTATCAAAAATTAAATAAAAATCGTTTAATGAATCAAAAATTTTATTCATTAAATAAAAACATAGATAACCTTGTATAGTCAGTTGCTTGATGTCTGGTTGGCAGGTTTTATAGTAATATATTTTTCGCTTTCGGGTCATTTTTTAAAATGATTGTTGCGTGTATTCTGTTTAATGAAAGCAGGACACTTTTAAGTAATCTGTCCCGCTCAAAGCGCGGCGTATGGTCACGTTAGTCATTGTACAAATCCACTTGCTTAAATACAAGTCTGAAATTCAAGCAGTATTGTAGTAATGGTGAGTGCACACAAACAATGGAGAAAGAGCCTTGACGGCGTGTGACAATGACGCCCTGATCGCACTTGCAATATGTGACACATTGTAAATAACAACTGCATGTTAGTTAGTGAATTTTATTCATGTATATATGTATGTATGTATGGTTGTAAGATTTATTTTTTTTAGAGTTAAAGGCTTTATAAAAGAAAAATGGAAACAAAGAAATTATATAGTAGTAATATTTACCAGTTTTAGTTTATTTATTGACAGCCTTGGTAGCCCACCAGTTTGCATTTTGGCCACTGGATGTGAAGGTCTTGGTTTGATTATTGATATTTTTGGGAAAAAAACTTTCTAAATTTGTTCTGGTCTGAGTGTTCTGGGAAATGCCTCAGATTGAAATCCGTTGCTCTGGTAGTACAGGGAATTCTCTAATTTGGGTATAGGAAATTGGTGTGTTTGTCTGGCATATTATTTATTTACTGGACACTCACACCAATTATTTGGTCTCAATCTGGGGAATTCCCCATATTATGAGTACCAGAGTAAAGACAGTAACACCGCCAGCACATCCCTTCTGGTTACCCAGAAGAGAACCATTTTATACAAGATTTACGACGAACGATTCTGGACGAACTCGTTCACAAGAAGCTCTTGTGAAAATGTTCGTTCAGAGAAATACTGCCACCTTACCTATTTTTGCCACCAAGCAGTAATGTCAGCATTACTGCGTTTCGGTTTTGAAGGGGTGCTGGTGAAATTACAGGCACATGGGAATTGTCAACTTATGTATCAGGGTGCAGTGGCAGTGGCCCTCCGATCTTTGCGTTTTAAAGCTTTAAGTGGCACTGGAACTGTTATGGACAGGCGTGTCACTTACTACCAGGCCCACGACTTACTCGTCCTGTCACTTGTATAAAATCTTCACAGTAGACATAGAAATGAAACTCCAGCGACTGTTACAAATTATATTACAAGATCTTTTTCACTATAAATTCGAACAAAACAAAACTACGTCTTTTCTCATCAAATATCTTTTTCACAATGGCGGCCGCCTGTCAGCGTTTCGTTGTTTCGTTGATATCGATGATGATGATATCGATTTATTTCTTATTTCGATAAAACTAATTCTTAATGACGCAAAGTAAGTTCTCTAACGGTTCGCTAACACTTGGTATCATAAAAAAAAGAATATTTTTAAGAATATTTATACGGATTAACGCCGATATATAGTGTATTCCACCCGTTAGATTTAGAAAATGAAAAGTTTTAAGTATAAATAATGTCATAAATTTATCAACTTCAACTTCAACTTTTGTGTCTATGGCTCCGTCGTTTTGCGCGACGATTTTGCCAATGTCAGGGTTGAAAGACATGTGTAGCGGTGGTGAGATAGATTGCCGGTTATTAAAATACTTCGGCGGTTTTTATTCACAATGACGGTTATATATATATTTTAATGACATTACAAAAATATAATTTGAGAGCTCATGTTATTTTCTTTCTTTTAGAAACATTGTAGGAAGTTTTATTTAGCGGGAAATAAAAAATAAAATCGTTTAGTAAAACAAAGTTAGGCGTCGTTTTCGTTCAGTAACAAACTTTTGACCGGTGTCAGCGTGGAAAATGATCATGGAGGATGGAGAAAGAAATAAAATTATACGAAAGATAATGGGAGAATACGGGAAGAATGAAGAATATTCATTTTTCTTAAAAATTAAGACTGATCGGAAATGAGAATTTTTCTCCGACTCACATTGTTGGGGCAGAAAATTATGTAAATAAATTTATGTAAATAAATAATCGCGGTTGAAATACCCATTCGGCTTTATATGTTTTCATCTTAAATCTAGTTAATTAATGATTAGGGAGAAATTAGTTTTTTCGTGCTTTTAATTTTCTCACCCTCTCTCCGCTTAAAATTAATAAAATAAATAACGAAAGCGCAACTACAAACGCAAAGCACCACCAAAAGGCGAAACCCGTGTCGGGTATATCGTTGGTGATGGTTTGTGACTGTAGTTGCGCTTGTGTTGGACATTAGTTAACCTTCGAGACAAAAGGAGTGAGAAACAAAAACTTTACACTAAAGGTTATTAACATAGCTTCTGCGTACATACTTCCATGACAAAAATCCGTGATAGTGACCCGTTTAGCTTTTGCAGGTTGTCTCGACCTTATCGTTACCTCCAATGCACACTACGCCAATTTTATTTCCATCCATGGCCAAAAATGCAGCAAGG